GGGGTTCCCTATGCCTTTGAAAGGGAGAAGACGTTTCACAGTTCTGAGTCTACCCTTTGGGAACACAGAGAGGCACATTGCAGTTTCCCTTATAAAGAGCGGCCGTGGAGAAAATCTAGCCAGCGTAAGATTCCAACCCTGTTCTCCAGAGTCCCGATCCTTCACTCTATCCTCTCTACACCACACTGGGAAATCAGTTCTACCTCTGGAAAAAATCAAACAACCTATCCAGGCAATTTCTGGACAGCTGCTGTGCAGGTTTCTTCCCATTTTAAAATGCTGAAACCCCTCGAGGCTTAGTTAGTGGTAACAGGAGCCAAAAGAGGCTCACACCCTGCGTTCCATTGTGATGATAGCCACCAAAGGCAGGCCCCAGGAATATCTCTAGAATTCACAGTGGAACCCTTGGGGATAAAATATGTATCCCCACCTCCGAGGTTCAGCTACAATATACCTCAGCAGTACAACCATAGATCTTGCAGGTTAGGGCCTTATTTAAAAAGGACCTTAAGATCCACGGTAACCACACGTTTTGAATTCAGCAGGTACCAGACAAGAAGTGATAGAAGGAACATCTGCTTGAGATGCAAGAACGCTGCTGCTTCTGGCTATGTTAATACTGGACTATTTATTTTATTTATTTGATTTATACCCTGCCCGTCTGGCCTATAAGACCACTCTAGGCGACTAGACGCACAAGCCGCCTCACCCACTGTAAGGCAGGCGCTGGGCTAGAAGAACTGGAGAAGAATGACTTCTCTTTCTCTCTTCTCTTCAACGTCAAGCCTCAGTCCCGAAAGAAAACAAGAACCACCCCCCAAATCTGGCTGGGTGGGAGGCACAATCGTCTCCACACCCGCACGTGGCTACGCACATTGATAAGTTCCTGGTCGCACTGCCCGCGTTCGTACGCCACGCAGGCCAGGTGCGGGTCCCGCTTCTCGCAGTACTTCCCCACCACGCGGCTGTCGTAGTAAGGGTTCTCGCGCAGAAACCGCTCCGGGTTGTTGTTGCTGTCGATGTAGATCTTCGCCAGGGCATTGTGGGTGGCTGGCTCCTCGCAACCCTCGTGGATTCGGGCTTCCAGCCATGGCAGGAGGAGTTTTAACCTAAAAAGGTGGAGTGGGTGGGTTGGCTGTGGACTGCTGAAGGTCCTTGCCTGAACACAACCAAATCCTTCCATGGGCCACTGCCTTCCAGAAGGCCAGGAACTCCCAATACTAGAGAAGATAGTCAAGGATACGGGAATCGGGAGCTATCGTCTACCTCAACAACACCACGAGGCTCAGTTTCCCTTGTAAAGAGCACAGGGGAGCTAAAACCAATGGATAATCCCAACCAGACAAAACCCAGTGAATCGAGGGACACAACCACCCTGGATTTCATTCAACGGGTCTACTTCAGTTGGGACTCTCATCATGACATTTAGCTCAGTACATTTCAAGACCAGAGCAACCTCGCTGACTGTTCTACTGACTCTCACCCCAATCACGAACTCCGTAGGTTCGTGTCAAGCCCCTCTGCTTGCAACCTCAGCTTTTGTTCTTCTCTTTCCCTTGAAACAGGAACACACACTACAGGTTTTACACGGCTGTGGAGCATTCCTGCCACCTACAGACAGAATACGCCGAGACAGCCCCTTCGGACGTGATCCCCATGACGCCTTTCTTAGCTAGCAAGGGAGAGAGCGACCGCGAGAGCCTAGTTCCACAAGTCCCACGGACGTTACCTGTTTCTCTTTTCAACCTCAGCAACCAACTCGTCGGTGGAGAACTGCCCTCTCACAACCAGGATCAGGTTCTTGATGACATCCTCAGAGCAGTCAACATCCAGCAAGCCCCCAATCACCACAGGTAGACGGCTGGGGTTCACCTAGGGGAATAAGGATGTGTGTGTGTTACAGCAAGGGAGGGCCACTGGCCTTCACAAGCAAATGCCGTCTGTACAGGTGTTGAGCAAGAGTGAATGCACGCCTATGGTGGGTCAGCTCAAAAAAGAAGCCAAGTGTTGAAGCCACTCTTTGCCAGGGACAAACCTAATGGTCATTTTTAAGGAGTCCTCCCTGGGTCCACTGGGCCCTCTTGCCCTTCAGAGGGTGCTCATGCTAAAGGGCAAATACAGATTCAGAGAGGTCGGTGGCCATGATCAAGAACTTCCCCCTCTCTCATGTCAGACAGACAAACAGACATGACCATTTTAAAGGCAGCTTTATAAATGACCTTTGTGGACGATTCAAACCTTGCCAACACGGCAAGGAGGGCCCTGATCCAATCCTTGAAAAGAAGCACCGGCCATCAGCAAGGCTGCCAGCCCCCTTTTTCTCCTTACCTTCTGCACGTAGATCTCAATGTATTTCTGTAGGTTGTTCCTGTACAGGTAGAGCACCAGGTCATGGACAAAGTCAAAGCGGTCACACACGATAATCAGGGGAAGCTGATCGGTCAGTTTTGCCTCCTGTTTAAAAAAAAAAAAAGCAGGGAGAGGGACATGACGTGGCCCTGCTTGCTCAACTGTGCAGCTTTAGAGCTCAACTGTGCAGCTAAAGCAGGCTTGTGTCCTGGGAACAGACATTTTTCAATTCAAATTCGACCTAGACAGTATATTGAAAGGCTTTAGCTTTGTTTACAACCACCCCTCTTCTTTTTAAGGTCTGAGCTTGCTCAAGCTGCTGTTTTTCTTTTTAAAAAAAACTGTTAAAGAGTCCAACCACAGTTTCTTAGCACATCCACATTTACAAAGATGGTTTTACAAAAAGCACAAGACAACAGGGGATTACAAGCCTAGCCTAGGCTTCTAGCCTCTGTCAGCTGCCGAAGTTATGTGGGGTGCTGGACAGCCGAAGGAGTGGGAGACTACTAGCATCACTTCAGGGTAGCGTGCTTGTGGTACCCCGGCCTTCTCACCGTGCTCCTCCCAACCACACCCGCCTGGCCGCCTGCTGCAAAAAATATTAATTTGCAGCACAATATATTAAAAGCTCTTCCTTGCTTTTATCCACTTTTTGGGCCATCGCAACATATGAATACAAGGGCTGACTTAAACGCATGGGCTCAAATACAAGCCATTCCAATGTGAATTTAAGAGCCTCATCCTGTTTCTTAAAACAGGCTCCGCTTACAGACCAAAAGTGAAAATTGGAAGGCATGAAATCTCTCTCCGGTTTTAAAGAAGAGACTGACTCAGACAAACGCTTACATAGGGAGGGGCAAAGAAGCCCAGTTGTGAAACGGATAATCCTATGTAACTCCTGCAGATCAATTCACTCTGATACAGACGGACGCAAGGACGAGCATGGTTTTGTCTTTGTGAGAAAGTGATCTGGACATCTTGAGCTAATGTGACGCCAACGTTAGCACCCCGCCTACCCTCTGCCCCGCCCCCCCTGAAAAAGGAGCATGTTCCAAGAGGAAGCTGCTTATCACCCACAAGCATTGTTTTCAAGACTGCAAATCCCAGGATATAACCTTATACACAAAGCAGACACGTAAGGAGTCAACAGATCGGGGAGTCCGGGGCTGAAAGGTTTACCTGGTACATGTCCTGAGCGTTCCACAGACACAAGGAACAGCACAAAAGACAACAGACTGAACAGGGAAAGATTGACAGACAGACAGACAGACATATTCACAGCTGATTCTGCAAAACAGCTCTCGGGTGGACCGAGAAGGCCCCCAAATCTCTCCCAACCCAACCTGACCGTCTCTCGAATGGCAGCCAGACCCATTCCTCAGAAACAGTTTCTGGAAGAATACGGACACACGGAACAGAGAGGATTTCCAGAGTAGGAACTTTGTCAGTTTAGCCAACAGAGTCTTTGGGGCCCTGCAAGATTCAAATCCATTTCTTGGGGCAGAAGCAAGTCCTGGACTAATGTCAACCAACACAAACAAGAATGTGCAATTAGAAAGGAAGCTCTGGAGAGCCAGCTTCCGATCTGATGACCAAAATGCTTCTGCCTTTTCATTTATATTCTCAGAGTAAAGGCTGGCAGCTCCTGTGAGTGTGCAAACAGCCTTCATCGCCAACAGATCAGAAATGAGGTTTGGGAATGCGTGTGTCTCTCTCAACCTTACCTTGAGGAAGTTCTTCACCCGCTCCGGATCATAGCAGTTACTTTCTCTGCAAATCCTCTCCACCTCTTTAATCTGGCCTGTTTTACAGGCCGCCTGGATATATTTGAAGTGCACGTCGGGGTCCTGGCTGAAGTTGACAATGGAGCCCAGGAAATAGAAGAGACCTGAAGAGGGAAACAGGAAATGCAAAGGGCAATACTTTTAAGAACCCAAGTCGGAAAATAGGCAATGGTGGGACAAAGAACTGAGTTTCCACAGGGTCCGGATGCTTGACTTGAAACATTTTCACGAATCAGTTCTAACAAGCAAAGTTCCAGTCCTGGTGCAAAAGATCCGGGGAAGAGTTACAAGCACTCAAACACACAGCTTTACTCTCACTGCTTGCTGTACTCTCTTAGGCCGAAGAAGGCAAGACTAGAGGGTGATGTAAAACCAACTACCAACTTCATTTCTAAGGATGTTCCCCTATGGCCGAAGAAGGCAAGACTAGAGGGTGATGCAACACCAACTACTGTACCAACTTCATTTCTAAGGATATTCCCCTACCCCTGACATAGGAACTGACTGGGGCAAGAGACAGGGCAAACTGCCTGCCCTCTGAAGCACAGATTCACACTTTCTCAGCGACAAACATAATTCAGGGAAAGTGGACAGACTGGCTGGGTTATAGCAGGCACTGCAACCCCTGAGAGGCTTCACGCACTCCCCACACTGGCCTCACCTTCAAAACTCTTGAACGATTCGAAAAGTTCAATGAGCGACTGGGTCGAAAGCTGCTCGTGGTACTTGGAAGCCACCTGGACGCAGATCTGCAGGTTCTGGCGGATGTTGGCAGAAAGCATGGCCCGCAGGCATTCCAGGGAGTCTTCAACGGAGAGGGAACCGAAATAGTTCACCAGCCACTGCAAGGGAAACAAAGAATTACAACAGGCGGTGGCTCAGATTTTCATGTTTCACGCATATCAAAAGAGAGAGAGAGAGATAACTTTCAAAGCAAGACCCTGGAACAGGACAAGCTGCCCTTCTCCAGGCGGGTATGCCAGAAAAATAGCGGCTTCCCTGAACCGAGCAAGGGGCACTGTACCTCGGGGTTGAGAAGGTGGGTGTGGACGACGGCTCGCTTGATGTCATATAAATCAGTGAAGTGCTCCAGGGCTCTTTGGAGGAGGCCGGCCTTCTCGCACAGCTGGGCAATGTGGGCTCGGTCATAGTGGGTAAACATCTGGTTCCCCAAGATGGCATCGGCAACCTTAAAGGAAAAGCATTCAGCTCTCAAACACACAGCTCCTTTTGGCATTCAGAATTTTACCACCACCTATTCAAAGGCCATAAAGGGGAGGGGGGAGAGATTCTTCAATGTCTGTCTCATGGGACATTCGAAAATTTCAAGGGATTTTGGTGCGGGGATGGTCTTAACTGCCCCAATCCATTCATTTCTGGTTTTGACAGTGTTTTGCTTGAAGAGTCAAGGTGCTGAATTTAATGGTGTTTTTTCCCCCATGGTTAAAAATGACAGGACAGCCAGAATGGCAGGATACATTAAAAAAAAAAACCTGACCACAGTCGTAAGACATTCCCAAGGGAATTATGGATTTCTAAGGCCATTAAAGGGATGAGCCACTAATCCAACTCTCCCTTGTTTTGTTTGACAACACTGGCTGATGGGAGTTGTAGTTGAGCTCATCTTTAGGAGACGAATACCATGGACATTAAGTATCCATTTTGACCTATTCTTGCAAAATATAGAGGGTACCTGAGGAGCATGCATGAGGTTCATTTCGAGCAAGCGGGTCTGCAAAGGTCCTTCGGAGGGGCGGTTGTTTTTCAGAGCGTCCAACAGAAAAGCAGTGCATTGCTGAATCAGGTTGTATTCCATGAAGACATCCACAATCTGAAAGAGAGGGGGAAACGCCGTTGTTTGGGGCAACTTTCCACATAAAAGTGTCCCGAAGCAGGAGGAGAAAAGGCGATGCCCTCTTCGTAGCCAGTGCCCCTCGTTACACAAGACCAATCCCAAAACTAAACCAAGTCTTCCAAATGCTAAGGGTCTCGACGGACTTCTTTCCCCTGCTTCCCCATCGTAGGAACCGATGCCTGCCAAGCCTGCTCCCGCCAACCACCGCGACTTAGGGAGCTCAAGCTTCGACCTGGGGTCCAACATATGGAGATGTCCCTGTTCCCACAAAGAATTTTTACTTTTCAACTCCCCTCTCTGAGTAAAAAATGCAACCTCTCACATACCGTTAAACAGGTTTGCAAGGCAGCCTGTAAGGAATCCAGTCTTTTGGAGGGTGCCAGGTATTCAAGGTTTCCTCACCTGGGTGATATCTGCCAGAGGCTCCTCATCCTGCACCAGCATTTGGGCAAACTGCTGTCCTTGGTCCGGGCTGATCCGCATGACGTTCCTCAGCAGGAAGATCCAGTCCGGGGTGTAGCCCACCTAGAGGAGTGCGAGTGAGCACAGGCAGGTAAACACACACACACAAAAAAAGAAAGACGGGCCATCAGCTTTCCAAAACCTTGGACAGGAAGCGGTCTCTAGAGGGCCCCAAGAACGCCCAGCCGGTTCTCGGCCCTTCCTGCACAGAAGTGGGGGTTTCTCCAAGTTGGCGCACACACACACACACACACACAAAACCTTTGACAGGAAGCAGTCAGCAGAGGGCCCCAAGAACACCCAGCTGGTTCTCGGCCCTTCCTGCACGGAAGTGGGGGTTTCTCCAAGTTGGCAAACTACTATTCCCATGATCCCTGGTCACAGGCCAGGTGGACTGAGTCAAGACAAGAAGTCCCATCTTCCTCCTGGACCAGTATTTGGGCAAATAGCTGTCCGTGAACGAAATCTGGAAGGCCGCAGTTTCGTCCAGCCCTGTGCTATTCCACGGGAGCTGGCCCCACGGCACCCCATCTGGTCCTAAAGCCCCCACACACACACATAACCACTCTGCTGGCGCTGCTGGTTCCCATCTCAACCCGGGTTCAGGAGAAAACTTGTGCTGCCTTGCCACAGGGAAGCTATGGGGGCCCGCACTGGCCTGCCCTTCGGAAGAGCTGGGACCTAGATTTCCTAGGCTCAGGTTTGCTCTCCAGACAAGACAGATTTACACTGGAAGCGCGAGGATACCACCAAGCCCTGCACGTTGTCGTTCGGCATGAGGGCGTACCAGTTCTCTCAAGGAGTGACGTTTCGGATCAGTAACGCACCTTCTTTGCATAAAGCACGATCTTCTGAACTTGTCCTGTTTCAGCAAAACACTGGATGACTTTGTTGGGGACGTTTGCCCGGAGGTAGACGCTCAGCGCTAGAGTGGGATCCACAGATTTCACCAAGTCCCCCAGTTCTTCAGAGCACTCCAACTAGTTTAAAACAAGTGTTTACATAAAATAATGAATCAAAAACAACCCCAAACCAAAATAACTGATGAGAAAGATTTATTGATACCCAGGGACTGAATATGCGGGAATTATGAAATCAAGGAGCCTAAACAACACAGGTCTCTCTCTTTCAAGAAAAGCATTACAAGTTCCTAGCCCTTGTGGTTGCAGGGATAGATTTATTGATACCCAGGTACTCAATATGCGGGAATTACGAAATCAAGGAGCCTAAACAACACAGGTCTCTCTCTTCCTTTTAAGAAAAGCATTACAAGTTCCCAGCCCTCGTGGTTGCAGGGATGCCTGGAAACATGTAGACGACTGCCCAGTGAAATTTCAGGAAGGCTCTTCCAAACACTGATTCTCATGGTTCACAGAGCAGTAAATATATTCCTGCTCTTCTCCAAGACCAAGAGAGGCCAAAGATGCCCAATTTGCAGAATTTCTCCCCGTAGAAATCTGTTGGATGTTTAATTTACAAAGTGCCTATGAAGCGAAAGAACCCTTGGACATTTCTCAAACGCACAATGAAGCCCAGTTTATATTGGAAGCAGGAACACTGGACTTTGAGGAGTGACCACTGTAACAAAACACTGGGAGATCCGGGGCGAAAGGAAAGAAATTCCAAGTCCTGTACCCTGCATTAAACCTGGGTATGTCAAAACTGACAACCAATCCGCTTGGCATCCCAACCTACTGACTACAAAATCAGTAGGCAAAGCAGAACCTTTTAGCATTGGCCACGATACAAAATCAAGATGAGTTCAAATAATCATATAGCTGCCTTAATCCACCTGTTCGCTAATACAGACTACCACTGATCTCGATTCTCAGAGACGGAGGGATTCAGATCTGGCAAGAAAGGATTTGTGACTGAGTCCCACCCCTCAGGGAAGGAAAGGGTCAAGGCCTAGCACTACACCCCCACAAGCACGGTGTACCTTGTCTTCCTTTAACCACTTCTCCAGGAGCTGCTTCCGTCCTTGCTGGAGGACTGGCCGGCAGAGTTCTAAAGATTCGTACTTGTTCAACTGGCCTTGATCGAGCAGGATCCCAAAATACTGGAGCAGGGGAGAGGTCTGGCCGGGCTGGGCTGGGACACTCTGGAACCGACGGATGGTGTCTGGGGTACGCAATATTCCCTTGAAACGGAAAAGGCAGATGAGACACTTCCCCCCTGTATTTTACCCCTTGCATGCACCACCAAGAGGCAACCTGTCTCTTCATGGATTAGGGCACTGTTCTAAGAACCCAGCTGCAGCTGGCACGAAATGGTGAAAAAGGAAAACATTGTGCCGTGAAGCCTGCTGAAAATTAAAACTACCTAATACACAGAAACAGGGAGCTACTTCTGATCATTTAAGATCTGTATTTTGTTAGCAGCCAAGGTTCACGAACGGGACACCCAATTTTGGACCTAACAGACCAGCGTTTTACAGAATGTATTCTACAATGGATTTCCCCACCGTTTTGCCAATTTGCTGGTTTACTGTTAATTTATATAGCTGGGCCGGTGCGTGGCATGCTTGAGGCCACATAAATGGGAACAGGCTGCCAGCCCGAGGAGCTTCCAATCCAAACCGTTAACCCCTGAGAACAGGGGAAGCTGCGGGCGTCAGAAACAGGGGCCACGAGGGAAAAAATCACAGGGTGGCCGTCTCCAGGACATATCACGAGACTTCCCTTATGGACTGAACTGTACCAGGACAAGAGGATTGCAACAGTGGCACCAAAGCCATTCCCCCCATACCTTGGGGGCATTGGCTGCCACCTTGGCCGCCTCCGAATAGCTCCCCTGGGCAAAAAGGGCATTGAATTTCCGCGCAAACAGCTCTTCCGCTCCGGCCAGGTTGTTGCGAACCGCCATCCGCAAGGCAAGGTCGGGGTTCTGCAGCACGTTGGTGATGTACGGAATGATGTTCTCTTCCTCGACACACACCGACAGAACCTGGATTTGGGGGGGAACAAGAGAAGATCACTTTCCGCTGGCAGGTGACCCCTTTCTGGAATCACGAGACGTGTCCACTTGGGACTCCAGAAAGCAAATCTTCCAAATGGTTCTTCCACACATGGAGAATCAGGTCTGACATCAAATAGAGTACCTAATGCTTGGCCCCTGAGGCCGATTCAGGAAAGGAACACAAATTATGGGTTCCTTCGTTGTGATTATATTTTTATCACTAGGGGAAAGGCAAGGTGCTCTGGGGAATTCATTCCTCTCCCCCCCCCTTTTCCTGGCATCATGTGCTACTTTTTAGTATTATGCACCCTGACTTACAGAAGTGCATTGGATGCCATTCGCTCACCTGGGCCAGGTAGCCAAAGGTTCCAGGAGCACCTTGGAATCATCATATTAAGGGGAGAGGAGCAGCAGCAGCAGCTAGACTCCCATGCAAAGACAGCCTAGTTGTCTCCAATGGCTGTGCCTACACAAGCATCTTGCATGGAGAAAACAACCAGCACAGGGAGGCTTCCCAGTATCTTTCCTCCAGGCAAGCAGAAAGCTAGCCTAAGGAGGGGAAACATCCCTCTTCCTGATGCTTATGTGCTTGGTGTGCAGGCATTCAAAGCATTCTCCTCCCCCGCTTGTAATCTGAAGTGGTGCAGTCCAAGTTGAAACCACTTGATTCTGTACAACATGCAGTTCCTTTTTCAACTGCCCAAGAGCTGCTTCTGCCGGGGGAATCATCATGTGCCGCTGGCCTTCAGGCTTGAGACCCAGAGAGGAAGGAGTGAGGACTACTGGGAAACAACGATGAATCATCATCCAGTCCGACTGGAAGCACACGGCGTTCCTAAACAGGGATACCAGAGCGAGTGCATGCATCTGCTCTGCTTCACCACGGAGGTATTCACTGCTCCAGATGGATACCCTACCGTTCCAGGTCAGAAATACATACGGGTCCTACACAGCCTACTCTATAGGGGTCATCACACACCAGAGTGGCATGTGCTCAGCAAGCTGAAGGCCCCCAGGGGTTCAACAGGATGACACCTTTAATTCCCAAGATCAGGTAGGGGGAGCTATGAGCCAGACAGTTACAGGAGCCAGAGAGACAATCGTCTGATCTGGTAAAAAGCCATGTCCTACACAGCTCCAGCTTTTATACTCAGAGGGAATCACAAATCCGTTGGGTCTTGCTTCCCAGACAACGCAACCAGCTGCCAGCCACGGCAGCTTAGCAGCAGATTAACACAATCCAAAGGGAGGGATACTAGCCCTGGGAGACACGTCTGCTTTAATCTGCCAGGAATTCCAGAACGGACGGCAAAACAATCTGGGGAAAAGACTGATTTTGCGCTCCCCACCCCTGGACGGCTTAACCTGCCATTGGCTGCCCCCTGCCCTCGTGTATCTGGGACTTCGCCACCTACGTCCAAGCTGAACACCGAACGCACACGCTTATTAAGTGCAGTTTCTCTTTCCAAGCCTCAAATTGGAGGCCATGCTGAATCCGCCACACCCCTGTGGTTTGTCATAGCAACCTTCCTTCCCAATCATAAGGACTGGTTCACATCTTTTGTTTAGTAACTAGCAAAAAGCCCCAAAAATACTGCAGAACCTCAGTGGGGGGGGGGGTGAGCGGGAGAGAAGGAAGCTCAAGACACCCAATGAGGCCGGGCAGAGAGAGACGTTTTCTAAAGGAAAGCACCAGTTCCTCCTTTTTTAAGACTAAAACAAACAGGGAGCAAAGCCAACTTCCTGTTGAGCCAGCCAGCAAAGTCCTCTATGCTTGTTCAGCACGGTCCTTGAGCTAGATAACTTCTGCAGACTGACCGCCTTCGACCCATTTAAACGAACATGTCAAACACTCAAAAAGAGAGAAAAGAAAAGGAAAGGGGGGAAAAAGCACTACGAAGAAAAAAACTACAACTCCCATGACTTCTCACCACCAGCTATGCTATGTAAGGCTGATAGGAGCTGTGATCGAGCAATATTTGGAGGGCCATACCTTCTCCTCCCCCCCCCTGCCCCAAACTCTTGACTTAGGTCACACACACCCCCTCCAGCGCTAATGCAGCACTGATGGGGAAGCCTCTAAGTCTTGGCTGAAAAGCTGCATTCCAGGCTTGATAACCGAGGGATGAATTCAAAGCAAAGATGAGCAGCGACTGGAAAGCACGGCCAAGGTCAACGGCATTAAACAGGGCCAGGAAAAAAAAAAGGCTCAGAGAGAGCACGCCACACATACTCTCCTGCTTCCAGCTCCTACTGCTCAAATGCTGCGTGCTTCTATTCCGCTGCCCGGAAAGGGCATCCAGCTGAGCTCAGAACGCTAAGTCACGCTCAGAATAATATGCATCTCAAGACACTGAGAGGTACGGAGTGTGTGAAGGTTTTTTTGGGGGAAAAAATGCAAATAGTGATCAAAATATCTCTTCTGCCAGGCTTGGGGAAACCAGAATTAGAACGCTCCTGAGCGCTCTCTCTCCTGGAGATTTAAGATCTCATTACCTGTCCTTTCCGGTTGACTCCGATGATCCCAGCTGTGGCTTCATGAGGGGCAGTGACGAAGATGGTCTCCCCGCTGATTCTATTCATGTAGATACAGGTGCCGGTTTCCAGGTCATACAGATGGATGTAACCGTATTTCGTGATCAAGAAGACGACGTCATGCTTTTCACTGATCTGCCAGGGGAAAGAAGAAGAAATGAGGTGAAATCCCAATCAGCTGCTTGAGCACTTGAAAATTCTGCTTTTAAATAATAATAAAAGTCTTGAAACTGCAGAGGAAGCAACGGATCATCATTTCCAGCCCCTGTCAAGGAGGAATAAAGGGGTATCAAACTCCCAGATCATCAATTCCAGCCCCTGTCAAGGAGGAATAGAGGGGAATCACGCTCCCGATCTCTGGCTAATTAGATACCTAAACCACTGAGCGATCCGGCAGTCCTAAATGAAAAGTGAATACTGAACACCTGTCTTTATAATGCTCCATTCAGTCTCCCATTTATCTAGTGCGCATGCGCAGCCCTTGTTGATCAGAAACAGTGTTTGCCTGTGTGTGCTTTGATGCCGAAGTAGCCGATTTGATTTCTGGCCTGTTGGGACCAAGCCTCCCATTTGTTAAGGCAACGACAGGCCACAGACAGAAACTATGTCTCATTCTTGACTTAAGCAACCTAGGTTTCTTTAAATCACAAGTGGGGGAAACGTCGCCCTTGCCCCCACCGCAACCTGCCAGGCGATTTCTGCGCCCTACTCAGATTCTTCTTTTTCTATATTAAAAAATATAGAAAAAGGCTCCAGGGGTTATGCTTCACGTTCAAATATGTCGGAGGGCCTCCCTGCCCCTTATAAAGCACCAAATCAGCTACTTTCAAAACTTCAACTTCCAGGTTGTTTCCAGTGGGTTCGTCGGGTCAACCGCACAGCTCCTGAAAAGAACTGGGGTCAGAAAACTGCCCCTGCGGAGCAGACAAAATTGTCCACATTTGGTTTAAACAATGGCTTATTTATTACATCAGAGTCGAAATTATGTTTCTTCCCTCCTTTGTCTTCCCCAGTTTAGAAATAAACTATGGTTTGTTCAATCACGTGTAGGACAATTGAAAGAAAAATAAAGCAGAGCAAACTTAAATCATGGCTTGGTGGGGCCTGTAAATGCAGCCATTGAACCTGAATGACAAGGAATCTCATAGCACCTTAGTGATTAAGCACATTATTTGTTAATCTTTCAAAGTATCATATCTCTTTATTACTTTTGCTGCATTAGACTGGCACAGCTACCTTGTTAGAAAACTTTCACAGTTGAGTTTGAACTGCTGAAAGCAGCCAACAGCTTCCCTAAGTAACAAGCTGCTTTCTGGGTGCTGTTATAAAAGCCAAAAATACCTGAACTTTTGTTCTATAAAAGGGAAGGCTAAGCAGCAATTAAAGGCAGCTTACGGTGTTAAATCCAAGGCTTGGAAGCGGGCTGCGTTAAGCTTTGTCATTCTGCAGAATTCTGAAATGACTGACTGAAACCCTCTTGGACCCAAACCACTCCCCACACCCAACACACAGAGAGAGATAACCAAGAGCACAATTTGTGAAACATACACCCTACCTGCATCGCTACTGGGAAATCGTTCTGGGCTTCAGGCGGGAAGAAAACATCCACAGCTTTCTTGGGAAAGGGCTGATTGCCAGTAGGGGGTGTGCCAACTTCAATGATATGCAACTGTATGAAGGAAGAGATCAGAGGGGCTTAAACCTTGAGCTTCCTTGAGAAGGAACACACACAAACACACACACAAGTTCATTCAAGCTAAGTTACAAACACAGCAGGCAAGCTGGGTATTAAGGGCTTTCGGTGCCGCTGCGTAAGCTCCACTGCTTGATATACTCCAGTGCTTTTTTAAAAGGCTACATTAAAACTCTGCCTAGATTGCACAACGAGTGTAACACAAGAAAAAGAGGGGGGGGGTGTTTCTTGTAATTAGGCTATCGAGGAACAATTTACGCCGGGCGTCCACTTCATGTCTCGCATCAACACCACAATGCTTCTCTCTCCAGCCCTACCCAAGCAGGCTTCCTAGGCACATATGTATCTCTGCACCTATGCTATGCTACCTTCTTTTCCTCCGGAGACTGGGAGGCAGTGGAAAGTTTCTGATGCATGCCGTATGCATCAAAAGCTTGAAAAGAGAAGCAGCAACAGGAGATGCTGCCTCCAATGGCAAAGGAAATGAGAAGCAGATGATGACTTGCAGTCAAGCCTTTGTTTTCCAAAAGAGAGCAGTCATTCTTCTTTATCCCACGGAGCGCTGATATGGGGTTTATCTACTGCCTGCAGCATCTAGCAGAGACCCACTCAACCTGCAAATCTCCGTTCTGAGATTGGGCCCAGACTGCACAGCTACAGCATCTGGCCAAATCTATCGCGCTCTTGGAACCGGCCCGCCGGAGGGAGAAGTCAAAAGCTGAAAGCTAATAAAAGCATTGGCTGGCCGAGGATTTTCCATCCCTCGTCCGCCCCCCCATAGCAACAACTGGGGCTGGTTGTGCGGTTGTTTTCTCCCGGCACCCCAAGATTGCCAGTGAATCTGCAGGGCAGAAAAGCCCCAGGTTAAACCGCTTCTCCCTCCAGCTAGGCCAGAGCAGCGGATGCAAACCCACAGGGGCTTACCTTGCCTCCAGCTTGTCCTCTCACCGCAAAGCAGAACAGAGTGGATTCTTCCGCGTTGCCTTCCATCTTGAACTGGGCAAAGCTCGCCGCGTGGCCTTCGATGGGCTGGGACACCTTCCTGTCTACCGAATAAAGCTGCATGGCTCCTACCACGCGGTTTTGCTTCATGAAAAAGAAAAATGATGAGATGAGCGCGCGCAGGCAAGTCTCTTTAACAGTTTTACGATAAACCACAATCTTAATTCACATTAAACCACAAACTGGGTATTTATGCAAGCCTCAGCAAGGCCTTTAAATAGGCCATTTTCATGTGTACGTTGGCAGAGGGTTGCAGTCCGGTGAAAATGCCTGCCGGCAGAACTTTCTAGCTCACTGCATGGCTCTGCACTGCAAGATCCTTCCAAAACTCAACCCTCGGAAGCTGCTGGACTAACTCCCGTCATTCCTCGCCAGTCGCTCCGTTGCCTAAAGGCTGATGGGAATTGCAGTCCAGCACTCTAAAAGAGGGCTTTCCCTTTGCCTGATCCGACACAATGCTAAAACTATGTTCCTCAATCCCTGGCACTTCATGTCCCAGCAAATCACTCCCCCCCCCAAAAAAAAGGACATTTAGGTGTTTACAATTGTTCTCTTACTGGACTTATCGATTACACTTCATTTGGGGGCAGGGAAAACCAGGAGGAAGGAGGAGTGCCAAAAATGGCCACCAGCATGCCAGAACTAGACAGGTAGATCGTCCACGGCAGGCAAGGTCAGGAAGAGATGGCATGTCCCACTCACAAGAGGAGATGAGAGACTGAGAGGGAGTGAATTCTTACACTGCCAGGATCACCCCCAAATCCTTCCTAGACGGCTTGGGTCCCCCCACAAGTGGCACAAGGACCGCTGGTTCATAAACACTCTGCTCTAGCACGTCAGGGCTTGTGTCTATGCTACTTTGATGAAACAGGGGCAGAAGCAACCGACTCTGATCTCCGAGTAGAAATGAGCAAGAGATTAAAGGTCGGGACCATACCACTGATCCCAGAGTCCCATTCTGTTCAGACCAGAGGTTTGTCATTTCAGATTTCAGCTCCCAGGCTGTGCTGCCTGAAGAACTCTGGGAGTTGTAGTCCAAAAACAGAGTGGTCTACATACCACTCGTTCAGACACTGCTTTGACACGTTCACGAGCGGCTGCCCAAACGTTACCTGTGCTGAGATACCAGTCAAAAGCAGCCACTTCTGCTTGGCATCTGTACGGTAGTTGATGATCTGGCAGCCTGCAAGACTCGAATGGCGGTCAAACATTTTGACGGGCTGACTCTCTCCTTCCATGCTCCAGTGGTAGACGGCGTTGTCCGTCACGAGGGCCACCGTGTTTAGGGAGATCCACTTCCAAAAGGTGACGTCATCCGTCATGGTATGAGCCTTCATTTTGCTCTTCATTTCAATGTTAAAGATCTGAAGGGTTTTTCCGGCTAGACACAATTACAGGTCAATTAGCCAAAGTTACTGCTAAAAGTCCACCAACTGGAAGGGCTACGATGAGCGGTTTAAGGGTCTACACATACCACCTGACCCCAGAGAACATTCTCTCATGCACAGTACTAGAAAGACTTCTGATGGCCAACGGGCCTTTAAAAAAAAAAACAAGATACCAACATTCTTCAAGCAACTTCTACTACTCTATACAAGTGTAAAAGAACCAAATTACAAGGGACATCGGACATAAATTTCATCTGGGACGAAGTTGCAAGGCTCAACATTCATGCTAGGTTACTCATCTTCAAGCTGAGCAGCCGATTTTTAACCTCCTGCTCCAGAAGATAGAGTACATCAAGGCATACAACAGCAACGCTATGCACAAATCTAAGTATGTACCCATTGCCAGTAATGGGGAGGCGGGAGACACACAATATCGTTGGTGAGAATAAGAAACGGTGGTCACAGGGTGGACACTCTGTTGGGTCGGTCAGTAGCCTGGTTTAGAGATAACCAAAACCTGTAACAAGGTTTCTGCTACTGCACATCACAGACTAAATGTGCATTATACAGGGGAGGGGGCGGAGGATGATGGGAAAACACAACGGCAACCAGGCAGGCTGGGGGGTGCAGAGATAACAATAGGAGTGTTTTGGGTCACAGAAGGAAAAAAGGAGTGAATAATCACATATCAAACTTGATTGTGCTGCTACTGCTGGCATCTTTACCACAAAGGAATCAGAAGGTTGCACCTGATTTAATAGGACCTAACCTGGGGAGATCTGAGTTCAAATTCTTGTTTGGCTGTTAAGCTTACTGGACACTATACCCGTGTTCTGCTTAAGAAGGTCACGGCGAGAGAAATATGGGAGCAGTTTGAGCAGTCCCAAATGTACCGCCTTGATCTCCTTTGAAGAAAAACGAGACACAGATAGTTTCAAGCGCTAACCAGCAGCCCACACGATGGGGCCACTTCTTTATGGGTGGTTCTCCAGATAGTTTTAGAAAAAAATGTGTAAAACTGAGAATACTGCCCAAGCCTTTACAAGCTTCAGCATGAAAAAGCAAAGCAGGTATGTTTGCTACTCAAAGCTGGCAAGGAAAGGCCCCAAAGGTTGTTTTAAAGATGGAAATAGATGCAGTAAATGGCCACTGACTCCTGATATTTAGTTCTGACAAGAAGCAGACCCTACAGCTCGATCCCGACTCCTCACTCACTATTCCACACCTTCTCAAAGAAACCCACCTACCACCCTAGGAACTAAAACACC